AGACAAAAGGAGCGGAGGGGGTCTCAAGCTCAGCGAAGGGATGGTGGGATGAAGTCTTATTCACAATCAAACGGGCATGCCGACAAGAAGAAGGGGCCGGAAGATGAGGAAGGCGGAACTGATGGCGACCTGCCCCATGGAGGAAAACTGGTTGCCGAGAGCCATCTTCCGGAGCCACATACTCTTCTGGACCGAGCGCATGACGACGTTGAGAAGCATGGAAAACAGCAAGATGGCGAGCTGGCCAAGCCAACAATGAACAACGCTCCCGTCTCTGACGACTATGTGACCTCTGACATTGGATCGGAAAGATCCGACGAGCATCCGGGTCAAGACTTGGTCCAAGATCTTGCAGAAGACACCGGACACGGATTTGCCAAAACTGGTGAGGCATTAGCGAAAGCCCCGATGGACCTCTCACTCGCTATCGCGCAAGGTTTTCACAATGCTCCACGTCTCTATGGCGATACCACCGTCCGCACTCCCCCACGTATATCAGGTTTCCACTCCGGCCTCCGCGCTGCCGGCTCTGAATTTACTTTTGGTGTCTATGACGGTGTCACTGGTCTGGTCTTACAGCCATATCATGGGGCTCGCAAAAACGGTGCGCTTGGCTTCGTCCAAGGTGTAGGCAAAGGTATCGGTGGTTTCGTGCTCAAAGACTTGGCTGCCATTATCGGACCTTTCGGATACACGCTCAAGGGGGTACATAAGGAGCTCATCAAGGGTCGGCAGCCGACTGCGTTCATTCGTAAGGCTCGTATGATCCAAGGAGGCAAAGATGCTCAGGCTCTCGACGGTGAGGCCAAGCAACGAGAATTGACCAAGATCGATGCTGCGTGGCGGATTGTGTCTGAGATTCGAAAGGAAGATGAAGCGCAGAAGGCGGAGGGCCTCAAGGGACGGGTAGCCTTGTTGAAAGAGAAGAGAAAGATGGGCAAGAACGACACTTACGAGACTGTGGGTCACGCAAAGAAGGCTCTGGAGACGAAACAAGAGGAACGCAGAGAAAGAAAAAGCGTGGCCATAGCGAGGAATAGTGGGGAAGAGAGAAGAGGGAGCAAGATACTCAAGAAGAAAGGAAGTCTATTCATGTCTGGGACAACGAAGCGCGGGAATTCGAAGAACAGAGAATCGATAGACGGGAAGCCGAAAGGTGCAGATCGGGAAATCAAGAGAGAGGTGCTTGACTTGAGCAATGAGAAGGTCTCCGTGGACAGCAGCGTGGGGACAGGAGAGCGAAATGGCACATTAAACGTGGCCGCTTAGAGGAGACTAACGGAAGGTCTCCATAGATGAGACGGAGTATTGATACCCTTTTGTTTACATATAAATATTCACATTAATTTACGCGGTCACTCATACGGCAACCTATTTGGACCAGGGGGTCAACCAACGGGTTTCCATTTTTCATTTTTTGTAGGCCTTCCACATCACAATAAGGCATCTGCTTTAAATTCTAAGGAGTATTGTCAGGACCAGCATAGGTGTGATACCAGGATGGGTGAGGTAGAATAGGGATAATAAGGCTACCGAACTACGTATGTAGGAAGGAGGCATGATATAGTAGGAGATGCCTCCGCCAAGGCACTAGGCTATAGGGCTGAGTGATGTCAAGGGTACGCTCGTAACAAGTATCAACTATAGCGTATATTTTATATTATAGTTAATAGTAGATAAGATAGCTATAGTAACTAATAAATATAGTAATTATAATTAATAGTATACGCTAAGGGCGTAGACTGCTTAGTAATAAATATCTAAAATAAGTATTTACTAATCTTAATCTCGCTCTCGCGAAATAATCTTCTAATGAGATATTCTAGAGTTTTTTCTAGATATGAAACAGCGTTAAGCTTTAAATAACATCTCTAAGCGTTATAGATCTATTGTATACGTTGTGATAGAATAATAAATAAATCATGATGGGGCCCTGAATTATGGTTCTGCGAAAATCAAAAAATCAAAATTTGTTCGTTGGCCCGCTGTTCCAAATGGGTTGCACTTGCCCTACTCATTCACTCATCTCCATGATCTCCCATCTTAAACTACCACCAACATCATCAAATCTCTACAGACATGTCCTTCTTTACCAATGACTACCAAAATATCAGAAGCTAAACGAGAGTGTCCGCGGCGGAAGGGCAGTGCTCTCCAGAAATACGGCATTTTGGCCAGAAATAGCGTGCTCAATCACGGACTGCGCCTCCAAGTCTCCCGAGCTTTACAACATACGACTCGTCCTCCACGACCAGACCCTAAATACGACGATGCATATTGTAACATGTTGGAGATTATGTTGCTACTCTTGTTACTGCGCTGATGTATCTATTTCGCGAGATAACATAGGGTCTGTGATGTTTGCAGAATTGTATATCAGAGGCTTGCCCCCCCCCCACCCCATAGAACATTGTCATTGTTTCATCAAGCACCGGCCATCAGCACAGGTTTCAGAATAGTCACGACACTTCTTACAGTCCTTTGTGTCCTCCACCTCGTTCTTTGTGTATTACCTACCCATCAGCGGAAACTCAGCATTAATATCAATCTTCTGTCCTAGCATCCTTCGACCACCCTCCCACTTCCATTCCCTCAAAGCACACATCAGCTATCATGCAGACTTCAACCATCATCCCCTTCTTCCTCCTTCTCGCCTCCTCCTCCGCCCTCGTCCTCCCCCACCAGGCTCCATCCACCGCCGCCACAGCTGGTGGAGGCCCTCCCAACGGTCCTCCCCCCCTCGGCATCTCCCCCGGAGCCATAGCCAATTTCTCCGGCGTCAACTTCCTCGAGAACCTGGAGTCGGCCTTCTTCCTCGAAGGGCTGCACAATCTCACCAAGTGGAACACGGACCACCGACACGACCACGCCATCGACGTCGTCACGCGCGTGCAGGCGCAGGAGCTCATCCACGTGCAAACGGCCGAGGGGATCCTGAAAGCGAACGGCGCGCCCACTTTCACGCCGTGCAAATACACATTCCCCGTCGGCAACGCGGACGAGTTCTACGCGCTGGCCAACGTCATCACCTCCGTCGGCCTCGGCGCCGTCATCGACGTCGTCGCGAGCCTCGCCCTCACGGACCCCGGGACCGTGCAAGGCCCCGCCTCCATCCTGGCGATCGAGGCCCGCCACGACGCCTTCTTCCGCCAGCGCTCCGTCAGCGACGTGCCCAACCCGGCCCCCTTCGACACCCGCATCTCCGCCGCCTACGCCCTCAACCTCGCGGCGCCCTTCATCGTCAAAGGCTCCTGCGCCGCCACGCCCGCTTTCCCCGTCATCCCGGCCTTGACGGCAAAGGTCACCGGCAAGACGACCGGGAGCGGCGGACGGATCACGTTCGGCTTCGACACGACGGCCGTGAGCAAGGAGGATCTGAGCAAGGGGTTGTACATCGGCTGGGTGAACCAGGCGAACGTGGTCGACTACCAGCCCGCCACCGTTGACGGGGAGGGCGTGGTTACGAGCACGATTGCGGGGGGGATGGCCGGGATCGCGTTCGCGGCGCTGACGGGGCAGAACACAAAGACGGATGTCAACAGCTTGACTGCGGTGACGATAGCGGGGCCGGCGCCGGTGCAGATTTCTTGAATCGAGAGCGAACTGTTTGTTTTAGGCGTTGCAGATAAGCATTCCGGAATCCCCTCGTCACTGCTACTGCTTTACCATGTCGTATCCCAACCGCAAGCATTTCTTTCCCGGCATGAACCTTCCATCCCCTGCGTCTCGCCCTCCTCATCTCCATCCCTGCCCACCCGAGACGCCATCACTTCTTTAAGACCTGGCCAATGATCACACGATGCCATATCCGCGACCAACTCTGCCTTTTCCCGCGCGCCTGAGCGACCCCAACATGCGGCCACATACCTTCTCGCCGCATACTCCACTTCCACTTCCACATCCACATCCACATCCGCTCACGAGTTCAGTCTGCGTCAAACCTGCGCATTCGACCACATCCGATCTGCCGCACGCACAAGATCAAAACTCCACACATCTCCCAACGACCCTAGCTTGCTAAACCCAGCTCACCCAAACGATGAGTCGGCCCCGCACGCGGTGCTCAGAGATATCAACCCAACCCACCCCCAAAAACGGCCCTCTCCCCACAACGCCCTCTCCCCACTCTCCCTCTCCCCCACCATCACCACCGTCACCCTCCCCGCCCCTCGCCGCCCCGGCTGCAATCCCACCCCCCAACGCCACCGGACCCCTCATCCGGGCAACCCGCGACGCGGCCTTCCTCGCCCACGACTGGCACGACACCGCCATCGCGCCCTTCGAAAGACTACGAGGGGTACCGGTACGCGCGCGTGTGTGTGTCGTTCATCCCATCTCCTCAACCCAACCCATCCTAACACCGCTCCCACAGCCACGCAAGCACCATCTTCACCTTGCTCTCCGGCCCGCCCCGCCCCACGCGCAGCCGACGCCGCGCGAGTACACCTACCGGAGCCTGCACGCTGGCCGTCGCGATGATGGCCGACCTGTGCGATTACGCGTCGATCGGGGACGCGATGTTGAAGGTGCGGGACGGGTGTTTGAGTAGTGTTGTCGGTGGTGGAGGAAGGGGGGGGAAAAACGGGGGGTAGGGTTCGTGAATCCGACGGGGGTACGATACGGCGGGGGATGCACAGGGCGATTGGGGTGTTTCTGTAGGATACGGAGAGTGTGATCGATGAGGCCGTGAAGGAGGGGGGTGGGGAAGTGACGGGGGGGAAGCGTTTGGAGTTGTATCCTTTTTCCAGCCGGCTGGGTCGGTCGCGGGGATACTGTTCGTGGCAACGTGCGTGGAGCAGTGCGGGGGAAGCCGATGTTGGATATCGATGCGAACACGAGTCTTCTTCGTGATTCGTGTGCGATTGCGGTTTCATGTGCAGCTCGAGGGTCATGTCATCGATCCTCTACTTAATGAAAAAGAAGCCCTTCCAAACTTCAGGCGCACGGAACCAAGCCTCGAGATCACTTGACTCGCAATTCCCCTCACCGAGCGCAGACCTTCATTCCAGCAGGCGAATGGTCCCAAGGCCCATCTTATCCAAATGCTCTTGTACAAATTCCATCGCCTTCTTCAGCGTAGCCGATCCTTCACCGCAAGCTCCACTCTCAACGTGCTGCGCCAGCCCACTCAAGGTGGTGAAATTCCTGGGTGATGCCCCATGCTGCGTTGATCTCGCGAGGGCGCTGGGGCAGTGGAACAGCGGAGTTTTGTACTCGTGGAACAGAGAACGGACCGGCAACGCGGAGTCGCTAAGGACTTTTGGTTGTTGTCGGAATGGCGAAGGTTCCAGGTTAGAAGACATCTGAGGAGGTCTAGGTCGGAGAATTCCACTGGTCGAAAGGGAAGCTTCGAGTGAGAGGAAAGACACTGGTTCCTCGCCTGTGCTGTCTGCCATCGCAGCCATAACAGGGCTGCTTGCTACGCTTGATGTGGGGGTCAAGACTGGTGTACCGGTCGATGAAGACAATTCGGACCCGCTGCAGTTGTAATGAAGGTCCTGACCGGTACGGCTACTGGTAACAATACGCTCGATATCGTTGTCCTGGACAAGATTGTTGACAGTGTGCCGGTCGATTCCGGAACAGCAGGTACCACTTTCCAGGTGATGCAGCAGAGCGGAGGGCGAAAGGAAACGGCGTTTGCACTTGTCACTGGCAACGCACCCGAGATCACTAAGAGGATGATGTTTCAAAGAGGTCAAATGCTAATCCAAGTCGTTCTTTTTGACGAATGTTCGTTGGCAAATGTAGCAACCGTGGGCATCTCTGGAGTAAAAAACGCTCTCTGGATTGTCGGAAGCATGGTGCTCTACCACGATATGTCGGTCCAACGCTGGCTTACTTCCAAAGTCCTGCTCGCATATTTGGCAAGGTATCCTTCGGTGGACCTTGTCGTTAAGATGTTGATTCAGAGAATGCTCGCTGACGAAGTCTTGCTCGCAGTCACTGCACCGAAATTGGGAGGCGTGCAAAGCCTCAAAGTGCTCGACCGCTGTGGATTCAAACTCGAAGATCATCGTACATTCGTGACAATAACAATGCTTTTCAACACGTTGATGCTCTTCAAGGGCATTCTTCCTCGAAAACGACTTTTTGCAAGTGTCACATGTCCGTGCGAATACCTGGTAGAAACAGCCGGGATGCGAGGCTCCGTAGTGTTGTCGAGGGCTTTCTTCCATCCGAAAGGCTCGTTTGCATAGTGAGCAGGCGTAAGGTCTGCCGTCTGACAGGGACTTGGCCGTAATGTGATTTGTTTCGACATCGCTTGAAATGCTGGCAGTCTGTACATCCTGACCTTCGGCGACGATGGTACGATCTATGGAGGGTGTCAGTTGGCGCTTAGTCGGTAGTTCTTCTTTCAACTTCCTACATCTATTAGCTTCCATCTCGTCGAGCTTGCTTTGAGTGGTGACTTTGTGACGTGTAAATGCGTCTTCAGCTGTCATGACTTCAATAGAACCGCTCCTTCGCCTTTTTCTTCTTTGCGAGCTTGTAAGACAAATAGACTGGAGGAGCTGACGATGGGAGCTTCTTCAGTGGGAGTTTCGTAGTCCCATTCGTAGCACATGAGGCCGTTGTCGCCTGGGTCAGGGTTTTGAAGAAAGCCAGTAGACTTTTGTGTAGATATCGGCGATCTGTATGCTGCATCCAAAGATATCCTTTCCTGATTTCGAATATGCACCCATGATGTCGAGACGCTAATAACGAACATGTGGGCCTACGGCAAGCTTCCAGATGCCAGATGCTTTCCCGGGATGTAAACACGACGGAACCACATTAGAATTCTGAGAGTCTCACGCGGCCGGTATAGAACCAGAGTATCCGTTAAGAGCAGGTCGCCCCCGTGAAAGAAGAGGCGGACCAGATTAAGATATTTGACCCAAGGTGTGTGGGAGTTAGAGACGCCTTCCGAACCTTGACTGAATTATAGAAAAGTTGCTTAGCAAGGCGAGGAACTAGATCATAACGAATATTTACATCATGGAACTAGTCATATTAGCGGCGCACTTAGCTATATCTCAAAGTCGAAGAAGAGGCTAAAATGATCGTTCCAGAATTGAAATTCTGGAAGACATATTCCCAAGCACCGTTGTTATCAATCTTTTGAGAGCCAGTGTTGACTTCATTGACCTGGAATTGAAGCCGGCCCTCGAGAAGCCTACTTCTCTATAGTCGCAGTCAGAGCGGGAGAAATCACCACAGTAGGTGTCTTGGAGGTTTCTAGAACAGACATGTTGTAGATCTGGGATTAGCATCTCCTGCAGGAGGCATTTGGCGTGGCATCGGAGCAGGGGTAGTAGCAGACTTGGTGGAAGAAGCCAGCACAGGATGAGGTACTGCCGTGAGGATCGAAGGGGGCCGTGGGTTGAATGAATGGTAATGTAGGTTGGGTTTGAGGGGGTGTCAGGAGGAGGAGTTGTGAAAGTTTTTAGACCCTGCCAAGTGCCAAACAACGGGTAGCAAGTCTCGATAGGATCCAATTTCCAGGATACCAAATACTTCCAACCGTCATAAGGCAGAGATTAACAACCCACGTTCGGAAACGTTTCTTCGAATGTTGTTGGAACGTAAGAGTATGTAGCATAAGTCATGCATAGAGGGCCACCCGAACTTTAATTTTTTCTAAGTCCTACAGTGGTAGCCCAACAGGGCTGACTGGAGAACTTTGCGGAGAATCATTTATTGGAAAGCTTGCTTTCTCAATGCTCGAGACTTGAAAACGAGAATGGGTGCTACGCTAAGAGGCTAGTGACCAATCAGATCATCGAATTCCATTATTTCTAGTCTAAAACACACCTTATTTCTTCATTTTCGATCTAAACACGGGTACGTCCAAAAGAGGAAGCACCATAAGGCTGAACCTCGAACATCAACTTTATCAATTTATTCTATTTAATTCCTTTAACGTTACGTAATAAATGATAATAAAGTAAATTTATAGAGTTATAGAGTTAATTATACGCTCCTAAATAAAGTAGCGAAGACGAAATTTGATAAAGTATTCGTAAAGATATACTAAAAACTAAGATTTTTATTCAAATTATCGAGCTTGCGAGAAGAGCCCCTCCGGCAGGAGCCCTCGGAGAGCCCTCGGAGAGCCCCCGGAGGGTTAGGGGGGTTTCAGGGGGTCTCCCCCTGAGTATATCAACTATCTCTCTCGATTCTCAGGGTTAGACCCCTTAAAATCCCTTAAACCCTTCGGAGCTCTTTAAGGGCTCTCCGTCTCCGAGGGCTTCTATCGGAGGGGCTGTCAAAGCAAGCTCGAAATCAATCAAATATCACTAAAATAATCAAATTTCGAGCTTGCTTTGACAGCCCCTCCGATAGAAGCCCTCGGAGACGGAGAGCCCTTAAAGAGCCCCCGAAGGGTCCGAGGGGTTTTAGGGGGTCTCCCTGAGAATCAAATATAGTCAAAAACCAGTACTCGGCAAGCTTTTCACTACTGGGAAGCCCGCGCCCCAGCACATATTTTCTCCACTGTAGGACTTAGAAAAATTAAAGTTCGGATGACCCTCTATGCATGACTTATGCTACATACTCTTACCAAGCCGGTGTATGATTCGTCACAAAGGTTGATGATGTTGCTATCTCAAAGGCAAAGCCACGGATGGAAGCCGCAGAAGTCTGCTTCCTCCATTCATATACACAGCAATGGCCTGTCCTTGTAGAGTGCGCTTTCCGTTCCGTGAGGTCGTCGAACTGTTTTCCACACTCGCACGGAGCCATTCTTGATGGGTATGCAGCCCGTTCTTGAGGCGGATCGTGGGCAGGATGCCAGTGTTTCTCGGATGATACTCTGGATTTTTGCCAGTGCAATAGGTCGCTCTTTCCGTATGTAGGGTTCCGAAGTGTGTGCTGTTGTCAAGTTATAAGAGGACAAGCCGAAATCTCAAATAGATACAGACTCATGTAGCCTTGTTTAATGCCCATTTTGTGGTCACAAGCCTGCCAAGTCATGTGGATGACTGAAAACGCATGTTTCAGAATTTGTACTGGGCATCATTCTTCAGGAATACTAGCCGCACCAAAGCCTTTGAGCGCTTCATCCCCTGTAGCAGCTACGTCTGTAATCTTTCCAACCTCATCCGCGCCTCCTCCTTTCTGCTTGGGTGCACAGCCTCTGCCTGCCTTGCACTGTAGATCCTCTATACCCGGTGCCATATGCGTCCAGACCTCCTTTTCTCCATCTAACCCTCCATATCTCTTCAATCTTCGCCGTAATTTGGGGGAAACTCGAGCCCGAACCTCATGAGGTAATTTTAAGCGGACCGCCATCCATTTCTCATCAGGCCTGTGTTCGGTAGGTAGCTCGTCGACGCAGGGTAATTCAAGCAGCTTCTCGTTTTCGAGACAACGATGAAATGGTGCGACAGGGGTAGGCATGACATGGTCTAAGAATTCAAGGGAAGCGTTGATGTTTACATCGATAGCTCGACGAGGGTTGATCGTCTGTTTCAAAACCATTGACGCGATATGTGGGTAGAGAATAGCGAAATCCGTCTGGGAGATGTGGACAGTACCACGGACGGTCAAAAGCCAGGCTAAAGACCCATGCATCTTGGCCTCATCACAGACACGAGTAGCAGCGCTGAAATTGTCGCTCCAGTACATGAATGCTTCTGAGTTTATTCCAAGAAGCGGGGCGTTGATGCGATGTCTCGGCTCTGACTCTGGCGGAGTAAGAGCAATACCCCATATGTCATACATGATCCCTTGACCAACCCATTGAAAGCGATCAGCATGGCGGAGGACCTCGACAGTCGTGGCAGCTCCAAAAGAATGGCCAATCATGGTGACCTGGGCGATGTTAACCTTCCCCTTCCAAGAGTCCCAGTCTACACCGTCGAGCCCACGAGACGATGCCCCAATTCCATCAGCGTTTCGTAGATTTCGCTCGGCAACCGTGGACCCTTTGCCCGCAACAATAGCCTTGACAATGTCGTATGACTCTTCGATCTCAACGAGACGCATCTCAATTTGGGCAGACCGAAGTTCCTTGTCTACGCCCTGTTCATTGCTTGGCCTAGTATCCATTGGATTTTGTTTTGGAAATATGAAATCGACAACGTCCCAGTGGCGCTTCGTCTCTTTCTCCCAGTGATCAACATGACCATTGGTCTCCCTTTCTTTCCGACTGCCTTTCCCTTCTGATGGATGATTGATAAACGTTCGTGCTCCACTACCATCTCTGTGCTCCACCGCGCAGACGACGAATCCATAGCTAGCAAATTCTCCACAAACGCTACTGTATGCTGTCCTTGAGCCACCCATACCGTGACTGAACAAGACCAGTGGAAATATCGGCTCCTCTGGCTGGCCTTTGGGGTGCTCGCCCTTCTCGTTCTTGACTTTGAAACCGCCCTCAGTGGCATTCTTCTCTGGCGGCCAGTGGTTCGCAAGCTTTGCATTTCTGAACGCCGGTAACTTGGTGAACCATGTAGTCACGAAAAACCACATTATTGTCAACCATTGCGGTAATCCAGCAAAAGCAGCGTACCCTTTTGACATTTCTGACCTTGGATGAGGTAGCCAAACTTCTCTTGACCAATGCTTGTGGCCCCCAGGGTCTTTGCCATTGCCGGACCCTATGGCCGAGGGGTAGTAGAGGGAGACGAGGACGGTCTCAAGCTGCAGTATATGCCGACCGTGGCGTGTAATATGGGAGAAAGGGCGAGGTGAGGTTGCAGGAATCTCGATGTCCATGAATCCGACCTAGCATGCCAGTAAGCTCTAGCCGTCAAGAGAAAGGCCATGTATACGCACGCCATATGGGCCAGAGTACTTTGGAAGGGTGCCATGAAAAGGTACCTTGTCTCGTAGACTTTGCGGAGGTCGAGATTTGGGGCTTTGGGAAGGAGGAACATTATGTGGGCCTGCCCATGAGCCGTTCTCGTGATTGCCGTAGATCCACTGTGAGAGTGGCATGTTGACACTATGGCTTGACTAACCGACTACATGAAGCGCATTGCACCAACTGAATGAAAAGTTGTAGGCCGTACACAGCGGTCAAAGGCGTGATGTCATTTCTCGCGGGCTGCGCACTCAGATGTGGAGCGGCGACAGAAGCGGCGCAGAGGTTGCGAGGGGAGTGTGGAGTTCATATTGAAGTAAAAAGTCTAGAGAGCGTCTCAAGGTGACTAACAGGGATCCCATAGGAGTGAGGCTTGAGCTTGAGGGCAAAGGGTAGGTAGCAGTAGGCTCGCTTGGATCCAGTGCCTGGAAGCAGGCGGCTCGCCCTCCCCTGGAAACCTTGGGAGTCGGACGACATTCCGGGTGGCAGTCCATTCGCCATTGGCATGAGATGAGCAGTACTGGATGCCAGAGCGAAAATTTCGCAACTCCTGACTGAGGCGAAAAGAGACGGACATGCAAGTGTTTGAAGTGATCGACGTCGCTCTATTTCAATGTCTTCTGCTCTCTATCTTCTAAAATATTATTGATGTCCAACATCAATTGGCTTTGCTTTTCGGATTCCTTGTGATCATTGAATTACGCTATGTATAATATTTGGGCTATCTAGACCTAGATCTGTGGACCTCGAGGGCAGCCCTCTCATCTGTAGTCATCTCGCTCTCCGCCTTTCTAATTCGAACGAATCCGATCATGATGACCAGAGCCAGAACTGAGCAGGCAAACTGGTACCAGAAGACCGATTGGTAGCTCCGCTTCAGTCCCACATCCCTTGTCCCAGTCTGAATCACATCCGCAAAAGCGAGGAGAAACGCAATGCCCAGGTACAGAAGGCTATTGATCAGTGCTCCTGCAAGCCCTTGACGGCTCTGTGAAAGACTGGTCGTGATGAATATGTTAGCGACGTTGTAGATGATGTCGATTCCCATAGTAGCACAGATCATAGCAGGAAAAATGAACGCCCAGTAATTGGCGCCTTCCGGTGCCAGGGCGAAAAGGAGAGAGTTTCCAACCCATGCCCCTCCACCAATCAGCATCAGCACGGTGCCAGGGAGTAGATGCAAGATATAACCTCCAACAATGGAGATCATACAACCTCCAGCACACATCGGAACATACCATGCTGCCACCTGTAAGGGAGAAGCTCCCATGATGTCTTGCATATAGAGCGTAGCATAAAGAAGGAAGATCCCCAGCACACCGTCCGAAAAGAACAAAGCCACGAATAAGGCTGAGAGATATGGTACTTGAAAAAGATCGAAAGGTAGCAGCGGATTTGCGGCCACCCATCCTTCAATGTAGAAGGAGATGCCAATGAGCAAGGCACCCACAGTAAGCGTGACATAGATGTATTGCGTCCTCCACCCATCTGGCGCATGGGAAGCGTCAGTGATGGCAAAGATTACCAGGATCAGGCCTGACACAATGAAGATGGAGCCAAGCCAGTCCATTTGAACGCCCATAGCCTTCCGCTCTTCAATGTCGTTTGGTATCGCAAATATCGCTGCCACAATCGTAGTGGAGACTAACATGGCTCCTATCCAGAAGTACCATCCAAATTGAAGAAAACTGCCAGTCACGCCAGCGATAAAAACACCGGCAAAGAATCCCAGTGGCGCCGCGCCGCCGTAAATGCTGAAGACCCTGGATTATGATTTCAAGGTCAGTCTTGCTTGTTTGAGAGGGTATAGGGAGGTTTGGAACACGTCTAGAGAGTCAACACTCCCAGGACATGTCTCGACACTCAAGATTTGGTTCAGAAGAGGCAATGCGGTTTCCAAAGATACGTACAGATTCTTTCGGGGTCCAGGTCTGTACGTGCTTCCGATCAACATCACACCCGACGGAAGAAAAGCAGCAGGGCCTAATCCTTGAAGCGCTCGACAAAAATCCAGCATCAAATCGGTTTGAGCGAAACCCGCTATGATAGTCCAGATTGTAAACCAGACCAAGCCAAAGAGATAGACCGGGTATCCACCATACATGTCTGCCAGACGGCCGAAGGGGAGGAAGAACGCGGCAGAGACCAGGGCAAAGGCACTCGCAGGCCAGACGGCAGAAGCTTGCGGTATGGAGAGGTCCTTGATCAAGGTTGGTAGGATTACGTTGAAACCAGAGACGAAGTATTCCTAGTCTATATTAGAACTCACCCTTGAAGAGCGTGGCTGCTACGAAACGCACCGACATGAACTGCGAGGCTATAACAGAGTAGCAGAAGGCAAGCTCAGCTCCAGAAGACTTGAATTTAGCAGGTCGTTCCCTCCCCAGACGCTCAATGGGTGCTCGATCTGAATCCAGGGCTTCTTCGTCTCCTGGTGTTGCGATCTCTGCACTCTGGCTTTGTGACAGGCGTCGCGGAGGCTCTGCAGGCTGTATGTATGGTCCTTCACGCTTGATCTTTTTCCCTTGATTGATATCCTCTGAAGGCTGATCCGCGCTTGTTCTCAAGGTAGGCTCATTGATAATTTTCTCCTGCTCGATACCCGGATTGTTGTGTATTTGATCTGCATCTGTGATAGGCCCACCATCTCCCTGCTCGAATCTAGACATGTCTTTAGCCTCGAGCTCTCTTCACAGCTCAGCATTGGAAGACAAGTATGAACCGCAGGTCGTTCTACCAGAAGAGAAAGGTGTGTACGCTCGAGGAGGGTAGGCCGGCCAGAATGTCCTATGGTGGATCGCCGTGGGAAGGCCATGACTATATGTTCCCGAGTCGGAAACCTTCTGAAGTTAGGTCGTCACACAAAGTTTTCTGTTTGCGTGCGGCCGTTAGATATTCTATGACTCGCCTGACAAATCGCTTTGTACTAGCGTATTCAAAATCCTTGAAAAGTCTTGGCATTGGGTCCTGTCACGTCCTCCATACACTTTTGTAGCATAGACATCAAAGCAATATTGTTAATTGATACAGCTATCGTTCTATGTACGGTAAGTCTTAATGTGTGACATAGAAATTCCACTAGATTTTTTGATAGGTTTCTCAGCCTCTTACCTCTATTCACGGAGTTCGGCACACAAAACGCCAAGACTGCTGCGCCAAGATCTCGGATAACGCCCCACCGAGCCGAAGGGTACCTACCGTGCTACTTAGATCTACTTCCGAGAGTAGGTACCTTAGGGTCAAGCTACTAGCGCTATCCAGGACTCTGTGTGCCGACCTAAATTCGATTACAGGTGCTGCCAGGCCCTCGCCATGGTGATTGCATAGATACCGTTGACCCCCCTCTCCTCTCGCAAGTTTCCCTCAACATTCCCTTCCAATCAGTCCATCGCCCCCTTATCGGCCTCGCTCGCTTGAAGGCCGGCTCCTCCTTGCCCTTCTAGCACCTCGGGACAGCCAATGGCTGTACGAACGCTCCTCCGGGTCCCCTTCAGCCCCATTGCTGAAGTTACTGTAAACGATCACGCCTACTTCCACGCGTATCCTAGAATTCTCGCCCTTCACACTTTTCATCTCCATACATCTCCGAGCTCCTCGAGCTGGCTGCTCCTTTCACCTTTTCCGAGGCATGAAATCAAGACGGGAATCAGGGATTTGGTTGAGGAGCAAATTTGAAGAATTGCTATCGAGAAGTACACGACTCTGGCCTCGAGACGTGGATCTTGTTCTTTGCTGAGCATCATGCAGGATGCAGTATTGTCGATGCCTGATGCCGATCTTGGTTCGAAGATCTGGGTCGCTGCAGCTGAGGCCTTTCGACGGGACGTGCACATCTGCGAGGGGCGCAGTGGCGATGAAATTGTATGGGTGCCGCGCCCAAATACAAGGCTCCAGCGGCTAGAGGCTGCACGGACCGGTAGTATTAAGAGTCTGGAGGCAAGGGGGTGAGCTATGCGTGCTGGGGAGATTGCAGCTGATGGCCAACCAGCCTTTTGGGTACAATTAAACCTGCTTTCGCCGTCTTGGTTCGCGTTGGCTTTTCTCAGACTCCTTCACAACAAAAATAGCCAATTTGTTACTATTTACTCCCTTTGCACCTACATTTTGCAAGGCCTGCCGATCTGAACCCCATTGACTGCTATCAATCTCCGAGCAAGGCAGGTCGGCCTGGTCGAGGGCAGCTTGCAGCATCTAACCTCCGTGTTCCCACGGTTCGCAATAATCACGACAATTTCATAACTCAAGGTCCAAGCAGCGTTCCGAGCGGTAGACTCGCAGACTGCGACCTGGTCGAAATACTTGATCTGATGGCCTCGCCGCTTGAAAAGTCTTTCCATATGCCCCCCTAGACGAACCTGTCACAGCCGGTAAGGCAAATTTCGACCTTGAGCGGCTTGATGCAACACCTCGAGGGTAGTGATTGTCAGGGCGGGCGCGCTACTTTTCGAAAGATCGTGGAATATATCGAGCACAAGCTTGGAAAGGTGGGATTGGCGCAGCCGCTTTTATTGAAGTTGGGACGGCTCAATGAACAGCATCCACCTACCTACTGCCACTCCATTTTCTTCTAGTCTGGCAGAACTCAATAACAATCCTCCTAGGCTCGTAGGGCAGACGTTAAAGTGCAACTGGTAGCAAATTACCTTCAACATATACTAAGTTCTGTCGAATTTTGCTTGCCCTGAGATGAACGAGGTAAAATCAGGGTGGTGAAAGATAGCCTTGAGTAGGATTTTCCTGTCGGCTGTATGGTTGGGGTTTCTCTTCCGCATACACAGGGTCTCAGAAGTCTCCCGGAAGTATCGCTTCATTTCCCAAGGCCCCAGCCCCAGCCAGCTGAGGCACAGCTTCGGATTCCAAATCTTGCAAAACCGCTTCGGCCGAGTCATACTCCCCTGCCCAGCACTTGTGGGTCACGTGGTTCATCAAGTGGGACGGCAGCTCAGGGAACTGGCCCGATATGAATCTCCTTTTGTGGTTAAGGTTGGATATCCCGTATGTCTATGAGCCGCGAATTGTAGCGAGCCGAATCATGTAGCACGGCAGCAATAGGCCTCAAGAGTTACCAGCGTCACCAGTCGCAGCGATACAACGGATTCCAGTCCATTGGAGTCCAATTCAAGTCATTCAGATCAACATCCAGCGCAGCCTGTCCGGGCATGTTATGTTGTGGGCTCGACTCCGACCCTACATAGCCTTGCCCTCCCATGCCATAAAGCAGACTGTGGCAACCAGAGTCCACTGGCATCGACATTGAAAAGTCAGTATTCATGCCGAATACATCGTTGGGCTGTTTTATACAAGGATCATGTGCATCTTGCGTCGTTTGCGCCACTTTTCGTTTAATGTCAGACACAATTCGTGGTGGCACTAGCGGCTTTCCCGATTGTCTGAACACTAGTTCGCGCGCTTCCCAAGCCTGGAGGATTATTTTAGTAAAAATCTTGAAGAGCGGATTGTCGTCTTGTCCCAGAAACATGAATCGGGCCTCGTAGTTGTCGCTCATAATCTCCCAAGTCCGTTCAGCGTGGTCGCTGACAGGCCGCATTCTCAGGTCTTGAACAATATGAATGTATGCGGGAAATGGAAAGTGGAAGTGAACAAACCAAAGGTACCCTGTGGTATGGGGTGAAGTCATGAGATTCGTATCGCACTCAAGCATGCTCAGTGCATGGGAAATGGCAGCGTCGCGTTGCACGTCCGTCTGCTGCACAGACGACCTCGGAAATCTTGAATAATGTTCAAGGAGACGGTTTTTAGCGAGGTAACCGCGCGCCGTCCAGATCGTCATGAAATGGAGTGGGTTCTCAGGATTGCAGAACTTGAGATGATTGTCCTCGATCATTTTCTCCAGCGCGACCAGCTTGCCACCTTCTGGAACGTGGCCGCCCTGGACGTCCTTGGCAACCGCCTTCAAAGCCGGACTGACAAAGTCGAGATGGAACGCGCTGTGACGGACGAACTCGCCCATCTCGCTGCGCACGACGGCGAAAAGGGCCTCGCTAGATTTCTCCTGAACCGCTGGTGGATCTTTCATCTCTGGTTGGAGATCAAAATCATTGAGGTTGAGAGGAGTCCTGCAGTCCCAGGTAGGAACTAGCATCGCGGTCTTGTAGTCGGCCAGCTCGCAAATGCGAGTGTCGAAGAGTATGAGAGACCACCAAAGTCTTCGGCGCATTTCAGCCTCGAGAGCGGGGCATTTGGCATAGGCCGACTCGTTGTGAAGCCCCATGCGTTGCGCAATGCGGATCGCAACACCGAGCATGGAAGACAGAGACTGGGGATCTGTAGCGGGTCTGACCGAGATCTGATAGTATTAGGCCAGCATGAAGATGGCAGCCTGACAGACTCACAAGGTATAGATATAACGCGGTCAAGCAGTCACGATCGCCGGAGCGTAGAAACCCACAATTCAGTAGAGCTTGCTGACAGCCAGACTGATACCTCGTCAGAAGACGTTCCCTTGGCGTACCGAACATGGTACGGCATTCGTCCTCGCCGAGACTCAGAATGGACACGCAATAGATACTGAACATGAGCGCCGCCAAGGTGGGCTTGATGCTGGCCACGTTGCTGGCGGCGTCTATGATGCGTGCTTGCAGGGTGGGAGTGTGTGTGACTTTGAGCAGCGGATTGACGTTGTCGATATAGATCTGCCAGAGCCTAAAGATCTGGACCAGTTCCGGGTGCAGGGTAAAGACATCGACGGCTGTCTCACGCGAGCCGAACAGGAGATGGTCGTTATTGTGATACAGTTCATTCCAGGCGTCCTTGACCATAGCCTCACGCACATCATCGGGCGAGGAATCGCTGCTATCATCGTCGGGATTTCGAGACTAATCTCCAATTGTCAGTGCGGCTTGGACACATAGGCGAACGTACCTGTGCCCTTTGATTCATGGCGTGCCAGAGTTTCCTGGAAGAAAGTTATTGGTCATCTTGTTTCTTGGAGAGCAAGCGCGTACTTGGCCTCGTATACAGTTTCGGACTTGACTGCCATCGAAGGAGACGACGACTGATCTGCGCCCGCAGTAGCTACTAGCTGCTCATCGTCTTGGGAGTCATAGCCGCGACCCTCGGTGTCTGTGTTGAGCGATTTCTTCTCTGTGGTCGAGTATTCCTTATGGAGCGGCTCAAATTTGATGTTACTGTGGCGGAGCAAGCTCTCGTAGTAGCGGAGGCGGTCCAGCAGCTCTCGCTCGGGAAACCTGCGGCGACGCTGGCGGAGGACTAGCGTCGCGGCGGGTACGCACTGCGCGTGGGACCTGATACAGTTGGCACAGGGGAATTTGCGGTCACATTTCACCTTTCGCTGTTGACACAACACGCACGCAAGCACCCGCTGCGGCTTCGCAGCTTGTGAGAAGGGACGATCCGTGGCCGCGAGAGACGTGGCCGGGGTGCTTCGCTCTGGCGTTGACATCATTGTCGACACGGGCTGCTGCGGCAAATGAAGAGAGCAATACTTTAATCAGTATGAGTTGGAAGTTTTGAACGTTTAAAGGCCTTTCCAGTTGCCAGAGACACCAGCGCAGAGATGAAGAGACTCGGGCTATTAAATAAAGCACACTGAGCCCAGTCAGTCACTGACCCATTTTAAATCTGCGGGCCGATGCCAAGACCCGGCTTGGTGGGCGGCCCCGTCTCGGGCTTTTCTACTGCCCCGACAGCCAAAATCAAAACCCTCCTTGCTCGGGTTGTTACTACTTGCCCGTCATGCGATTCACAGGCTCGTTCGGTATATCTAAACTCCTAATGTTTTGAAAAAAGAAATCGGTCCCGGATCGAGAGCGATGGCTATAAAAGCAAAGCTCGCCGCTGGTCCAGCGTTCCATGGCCAGACAGATTTTGGGCAGCAACTTCTTCATTGTTCCCGCTGTGTGATTGATCATGTCTTCCGCAGATTCCCTGCAATCCGCGCAACGTGCGCCAAAGGCGCCTCGGCCCTTCGATGAAGACGACGAGTATGGAGATGCGGAAAAGAATTTCCAGCCAAGATCCCCCAGGTTCTGGATGATCATCATCGGCATGTACGCGTCGATTTTTCTCGTCGCATTGGTGAGTTTCGTTGGGATTGAATTCTGCAGCACTGGGCTCACACTCACGGCCTCAACAGGATCGAATGATCATCGCTACCGCCATCCCCGGCATCACCAACGAGTTCCATTCGATCGAGGATATCGGCTGGTATGGCAGCGCCTACATGTTGACTGCCGCCATTTTCAATCCGCTTTTTGGCCGCATCTACCAGCTCTATTCGACCAAATGGGTGTTCCTCGTCTCCATCCTCGTCTTCGAGGTCGGCTCCGCTCTCTGCGGCGCCGCCCCTAGCTCCGCAGCTTTCATCGTCGGACGCGCCATCGCTGGCATCGGCGCTGCTGGCATCTTTTGCGGCGGCATAATGATCATCGTTCCGCTCATTCCCCTTCGCAGGCGGCCTATATTCACCTCCTTTTTCGGTATGGCTTTTGGTGTCTCGTCGGTGCTCGGCCCTCTGATCGGCGGCACATTTACCGACAACCGGTAAGTCGACGCCCTGCGCCGGGAAAGCATCTTGTACTGACTTTTCTCTTAGGAGTCTGACGTGGAGATGGTGTTTCTACATCAACCTGCCCATCGGTGGCTTCACCTTCGTCGCCATACTCCTGTTTCTCCACCTCAAACCTCCACCGCGCGAGAAGCTCACCGTCCTGGACCAGCTCAAGCGTCTCGACCCCTTTGGACTTTTATTCCTCATTCCATCCATGGTGTGCCTCATCTTGGCTCTCCAGTGGGGCAATACCACCTATCCCTGGTCGGCACCCCGAATCATCGGCCTTCTCGTCACCTTTGCCGTCTTGCTCGTCGCTTTCCTGGCCGTCGAGGTCCTGACACCAGAGACCGCCATGGCTCCGACCCGAGTCATCCTGAACCGTTCCGTCGGTGGCAGTATGCTTTTCATGTTCCTCCTCTCCGGTGGAATGATGGCCGTCGTCTACTACCTAACCATTTGGTTCCAGGCGGCCCAAGGCCAGTCGGCCATGGAAGCAGGAATCCGCACCATCCCTCTGGTCTTGTCTCTGGTCGTCATGGGCATTGTGGGCGCCATCTTCACTGAGAGCGTCGGATACTACGTTCCCGCCATGCTGCTTTCTCCTTGTCTCTGCGCCGTCGGCGGCGGCATGCTTTCGACCCTTACACCGAGCGCAGGCAGCAGCCACTGGATTGGCTACCAAGTCATCTACGGCTGCGGCATCGGCTGCGGCTTCCAGACCTCCAACCTGGCGCCTCAAACCGTCCTGCCGCGTGCCGACGTCCCTCTCGGCATGGCCCTAATGTTCTTCATGCAGCAGCTCGGCGGCTCCGTCTTCCTCTCCGTTGGTCAAAACATCTTCTCCAGCCAGCTCGTTGATAGCATTTCTAGCGTAGCGGGCCTCAACACTGAGGCTATCGTTAACGCTGGCGCGACGGCTTACCGTAGCATGGTGCCGCTGGGCGACCTCAACACCGTCATAAACGCATACAGCTACGCTTTGACTCGAGTCTTCATCCTAACCGCTGCCCTTAGCGCCTGCATGATTCTGGGCGCTGGGATTGTGGAGTGGAAGAGCATCAAGGGAAAAAAGAGCCACCCTTCCAAGACTGACGAGGCCAATGAGGGAGGCAAAAGCGAGGCCAATGAGGAAGGCAAGAGGGAGGCCAATGAGGAAAACAAGAACGAAGCCAAGAACGAGAGCGCCCTGGGTATGGACTGACATTGTGGTCCAAATGAGGCAATGCTGTGCGGCGACATTTTAAGAGGAAATGATTGAGTAATAGAAGACCTGGCTGTTACGGGCCCAGCCTAACATAATTCCCAGAACCTTGGCATCACGTGACCATGTGCAAGCAAGCAAGGCGGACCTGGTGCTGAGTCAAGTGAGGCTGGGTAGGCTACATCAGTGGACTCATGTAGTAGAGGCCACTAAGCAAGCTCGAAGTCCTTATTTATAACACTTCCAGCAGGAATGAAGAACCCATGGCTGTGGGCGTTCGTTGGATTGGGGGCACAAGGAGCTGTAGTTGAAGAGGCTGCCCGGCGGCTGTGACATCTTAGGACAGAGGTCTCAATGCAAAGGAAACGGCGACTGAGCAGTTGTTTCACAACCCGTGTAAAGATCATATTACTGGGCATATTTCTTGGATGGCTGTAGTCATGATTAAGGTCGTATCTGCGCAGTTTCACTGCCTGCTGAACATCGATTTGGACCAAGCTTTCGAGCGTGTGAAACATCCGGGCGAGCGAGAGAGTAGATTGGCTATCCGTCGCATTCCAACAATTCATCAGAAGCTCAACAGCTACTTACAATCCAACGCCTTCATGCGTTCAGCTTTACTCTCAGACGAATAATGTGAATGCGGGAAGCTCTCGGCTGAAACATGTTTCAAGAACATCTCGGAAATTCTGTTTTGCTGCGTAAACACATCATTTTGGCGAGATGGGGGCGGGAATAAGGTAGCCAGATTGTGAACTTAGTGCCTTAGTCAGCCCCACTTCCGGACGGTCTAAGCCGGGAAGCTAGGGACGGAAGGAGGGCGGGTGAAGTCATTTATTGGATCAGCTTGGCCTTCGCCTTCAGTCACATCGGCGGCACCAGCGGCGAATCACATCGACTGGGGGGCAAGCATAGCCCAGCGTGTCAAAAAATCCTATCTCAACACTTCCTTCCACCTTTTGTCTCAATGTATATGTATATGTATATGTATTCACCACCTGCCCAACTCTTTTCTTTTCCTACAGAAATCCTAGACTGCTCTCTTCTGCCTACCACCATTCCTTGACTTACCATCCACCTAAATTGAGGCATTTGCGGGAGTCCCTGCAGCCTCGCAGCACCGTCATGCCTTCCTCGTCACCTAAAGTCCTTCTGGCACTCTCCGTCTTGACAATTCTACTGTCTTTGGTCACTGATGTCACCGCGTCGCTTTTCACTTCGCACAAGAGATCTCCAAAGGTCCTGGGCTTCGACTTCAAGAAAGAAGTCACTCGCAATTCGCCACTTCCCAAACGCCTACGCAAGCGTCAAAAGACAGTAACAGCGAACATCGACAATGAGGAGATCGCGTAAGTGCTGCCTACTTCACAGAGTCAAAGTACTGGCTGACAGTGTACACAGGTACCTCATTAACATGACCGTCGGCACACCGGGCCAACCTTTCAGCGTACAACTCGATACGGGTAGCAGTGACATATGGATACCATCGGTCGAATCCGACGCTTGTCAAGAAAATGAGCAAGCCTGCCAACAGCTTGGTCAATACGACTCAACGCGCTCAACGAGCTATGTCGATGTTGGCCAAGGTGCGTTTCAGATCCAGTACCAAGACAACAGCGCAGTCACTGGTGATTATATCAATGAGACTTTGGCAATAGGGAATACTGTGATCAAGGATATGACCATGGGGCTTGCCATGCAGGCCACTAGGCCATTTGGCATCATGGGTATTGGCTATGATGCCGACGAGTCGATCTCAGCCATGAGCCCAACAGACGTCTACCCGAACATCGTGGCCCAGATGAAGGCTCAAGGGTTCATCAGCACTTTGGCCTACAGTCTGTGGCTCAATGATCTTAGTACGTACCTTCGATCCAAAGACTGCAACCTTGCTGACGAAATTCAGACTCCTTGACTGGATCAATCCTGTTCGGAGGCGTTGACACTGCCAAATACCACGGCAACCTAATCGTACTTCCCGTGCAAGCAACCAACGGCTCATACACGGACTTCACGGTGGCTTTGTCGTCTGTATCTGTGTTGGATTGTTCAGGGGCGGTCCAGTTCTCCCAGACCAATTTGGATCTGCCGGTTATCTTGGACAGCGGGACTACTGACGCGTATCTTCCTGATAGCGTCGTCAACCCGATTCTCGGTGGTGTCGGTGTCATAAATGACCAAGATTATGGCACCATTGTGCCTTGCGACATAGCAAATTCGCCAGCAACCTTAAGCTTTGGCTTTGGTGGGAATAATGGCCTGACGATCTCAGTCGGTCTTGGTGAATTTGTTACACCGATTTTCAACGAAGATGGTGTGCAACCTACATTCAGAGATGGGGCAGGGACCATCTGCTCATGGGGGTTGATGTCATCCGGCACGGGGCCCATACTTTTTGGGGATGCTTTCCTTCGGTCAGCGTATGTGGTCTATGACTTGACCAACAATCAGATCGGAATGGCCCAGACCAATTTCAACACTACGGATACCAACGTTGTAGAGATTTCCGGAAGCTCCATTCCTGGCGCGTCCATAACCGCCTCAGCCGTCACGGCGAGTCAAACCTTTAGCGGCATTCCTCAAGAGACCGACGCGCAAACCAAGACAGGAAGCACGCAAGCTACCGCTGCGCATGGCTCGCCGACATTCAATCTCTGTGTCTCGGGGACCGGAAAAGCGAACGCGGCTCAAGGGAAGAAGGGAGCCGCCTTTGCCGTTGGACCACCAAGGATTGAGGTGACGACCGTCGTTACAGGCTTCGTCCTGCTGTTGTCCTTAGCCTTTGGTAGTTCGGCGGTCTTGTTGCGATGATAGCGTTCTGTGTAGCGTTTGACGGCATTACGATCAGCATACTCCAGCGTTCGATTTTGGTGCGTAAAATAGATCCCGGGGCGCAATTAGATAGCTCCAATAGTCGATAGGACAACGAGAAATCGCGTCTTCGATTGGCTCTCTGCCATCGCTCTGCTCCAGGCATTTGTCGAAGAACTGATCTGCATTTCTCTTGGGACGTGGCTGCTAACAGTCTCTACTTCGCAGTCGCCACGCATGTCCAACCCGCCGACCCCTGAAGGCCTCGAGCGCTCCTGCCGACCTTCTCGGACGGCAGTGTCTTCGCCATTGTCGGCAACCGGAAACTCACGAGCCATGCCTTCCTCACCGCAACCCACCCTACCTCTCCACCATCCCCTTCCCTCACTCCACACCCGCTCTGATCCTAGGAACAACACCCTCCATCCCACCATCCTTGGACACATCACCCCTTAGCTCCCCGCACCACCATGCCACTCCTCACCTCCCTCCTCCTCGCCGCCTTAGCCGCCGCCACCGCCCCCCCCCCATCGCCGACTCCCCGCGCGCGTCCCCGCGCCCCTCGTCGACGACGGCACCATCCTCAACTTCGCCCCGACCCTCGCGTTCCCGCAGCGCGCCCTCTACGCCGGCGCCCTGGCCCGCTTCACCGGGGCCGACTTCGCGGGCCGCCGGGTTCGCGGATCCGTACGTTCCGCGCGAACGTGCGGGCGGTTTGCTTCGGGGAGCGGAGCCACGTCGCCGTGTTGGGTTCGGCGCTGCGGGCGGCCGGGGTGGAGGCGACGGGGGGGGTTGGAGTACGGGGTTCCCGTACGCGGACGTGGGGTCGTTTGTCGGTCTCGCGGGCGTGGTTGAGGGGGTGGGCGTTTCGGCGTGGGTTTGATGGAGGGAATGCCGGAGATGGGGGGTCTCGTTGACGAGGTGTAGATACCTCGGCGCTCTGTCGTCGATCGAGGATCCGGATTACCGGACCGCGTTCGCCTCGATGCTGGGGGTCGAGGCCCGCCAGTCTTGGTACGTCCGAGCGGGGCTTGGGGAGGCGCCGTTTCCCAATGCTTTCGATACCCCTCTCGACTTTGTGAGTCTGGCTTGTGGTCACCGGAAACGGAGACTGATGCCTGTCATCGTAGAATGAGGTCCACACACTTGCTCTGCCTTTCATCAAGAACTTCAACAGCGGCCCGGTGAAATTGCCTTTTACGGCTTTCCCCACTTTGACGCTGCAGTGCACGCCGTATTACTATGAGTGAGAAAGGACTGCTCTGGTCGATATACTTCTTGGTGCTGATAGGATGTCAGAGCTGGTCTATCCTCTGTCACCTTTTCCGGTGCATTCAGCAATGCGGAGCAGCTTGGAGTCACCCAAGACACGACCGTCTACGCCGTCTTCATCTCCGGCCTCCTAAAGGTTCGGACTCTCTCCGAAAGCGAAGTCTCGCGGACCTGGCAGTGGCTGACCACCGCTCAGCTGCCCGTCCTCGTACGGATAGCGAATAATGACAGCGACTATGTGGTCGATGAAATCCCAGTTGGCGTCTCAGGCCAGGTATATGTCGTGTTATCAGATTCCTGCGTCGATCCCTCGGACGAGAACATTGTTGCAGGCCCCGCGATCCTGGAGGCGAGTGTTGTCTCCGTGCACTGACTCTCGAGTAGCTTGCGCTGATGCAGTCTAGGTGTACCCTATGGGTATGGTTCCTTCCGCGCCTCATCCGGGGTGCCCAGCAGAGCCTTCTACCTTGCTAGAATGACAGAAGCTGTAAGGGGCATCGCTGGAGATGGATGAAAAGACGAGAGCGTTGAGGAGACTGGGGAGATGGGCACTGCGTATTAGGTCTTTTATGCTTTCGACCAAGACAATTTGAATCACGGTCACTGCGGAGACTCACAGAGTGCGTCTATTTTGAAAGGATTGTATGCTTGCAACAGCAGGAGATGACTAAGCACGGAGGAACTGTCGAATCCTTACCTTCATCCCTCACCTTCTTTCATGCGATTCGAAGCTCTTCTGGGAGTTTCTGTTCGTGGTTTCGTTCACATTGATGTGGGTGACGCTGCCGAATGGCAATCTTTTTTGCTCGCCACTGATGGAGAGGAGATCATTTCCTATGAAAGCTTGCTTATGATACAAAACGCGTTGCGTGGATGACACGCTTGAGAGGCCAAAGCCCCTGCTGAAAAATCCTCAGAGCCAGCTCCGTAAAAGCATCGACTGCTGACAGCATGGCTCAGCTCTTGGCCCTGGAATGATATGTGCTGATGTAGGCCTAGACGCTCCGTTGGAAAGTTCCCGCTGTTGCTGCTGTATCCTGTCCCTTCGGAATGCGATTATCTTAGTTCTCGATTGAAGAAACCGTGCTGATGTAGAAGACCTGGAACCGTAACCGAACCGTGACCGCCTCGCTCCCTCAAGCACCGTATGCACGATCCAAGGCGCTCCCAAAGTCCGCGTGCTGCCTCTCCTGCGACGTCAACCCAATCTCCCGCTCGATCGCCTTCTCGAAATCCATCTTGCGCGCCACGACGACCGGAGGGAACCCTGCGCCGCGCGGACCGGTCTTCCAGATCGACCGGAGCGTCCGACCCAACTCCGCGAGCCACTTGCCCTTGGACATGCCGCCACGGGCCGGCAGCTGAGTCGCCGCTGCCGTGATGCGGGCTTCGCGGAGTAAGGAGATGTATCGGTGCTCGTGGGTTGTCATGGGTCGGTTGGCGTTTTGGAGGCGGGCGTTTATGTCCTTTTCGCGCTGGGTCAGCAGGGTCCAGTAGTCGAGGGGGTCCATGGAACCTGGGGGTGGGACGCTGAGGGCCTCGCTGGTGGGCGCTTGGGCCATGGACGGAGGTAGTTGTGTTCGGGCCGTCATCTGAGGAATGGGCTGGATCATCTGATTGGGCAACGCGCCACGGTGTGGTCGTTGGGCATGGGTGGCCCAGAGGTCTGGGTTAGGTACGTACGGTACCTGGTCAGGGAAAGAATGAAAAGATGCTGCCTGAGGTCGAGACTGGAGGGGACCGAGCTGGCCTTGGAATGGACTTGGAGGTCCACCGTACATGCCCTGACTGGACCGGTTCAGAGTTCCGTAGCCAGGAACGGTTGGTGGAGCTGAGAAGGGATCAGCACCGTAAACGCCGCGCGCCTGGTTCGATGGGTACTGGGGACCTTTGAATTGAGAAGGCGTGTTTGTGCGGCTGAGATCATTGACAGGGTAGGCCGTGGTGTCGTAACGGGACGAAGACGGGTATTTGCTGGTGGGATCGTGGCCGAGTGTCGCCATCTCCATCATACGATTAGTGCTGTCAGGGAATGGCGTCTCTTCAAGATTGTTGCGGCGCATGCGTCTTGGATTGGTACTGTTTCCTTTCGATCGGCCAGACGATGCAGCAGATGGATTGAGTGGTGACTGGGTGCTCTTGAATTGCGGTGGTGGAGTTATCCTTATGGAGTCCGAATGACCCTTCGTAGGGGTATCAGACAGATCACGAGAGCCATGGAAGAGGTACTGGGCCTTGATACTGTATGCAGAGGTGGGGTTTGGAGGAATCACTTGGCCGAATTGTATCGGGTTCGCTGGACTAGCTTTGGTGCTCTGGTAGAGCTCATCGGTTCGACGCTGCCGGGTGCCGGAGGTCGGTGACCAGACAAGTTCGTCGGATCCCATGGCGTTTCCCGGAACGAACGTTGGGATGGCGGGGAGGTCGAGCTTCTTCGGAAGAGATTCGGGCTTGCTTTTGACGCTCTTTGGTGGGTGCAGAGGGGGTTTTGAGGGTATATTTTCGGCTTTCTCCGGCATGATACCCAACGTGTGCTTACTAGATGGACCTCGAGCACTAGCATCGCTGGCCTGCTTCTTGTGCCCCGTACCATTATTCGCAATGTTCCTCGCGAGATTGTCCATCCCTTCCTTTGCGAGCTTCGTCCATGCCGACTCTTCGGGCAGAAATTCCCACTTCATACCCGGTGGACCTCTCATATCGCGGATCGCGTACAGAAAGACCTGGACGTTTTCATTTGGGTGCGATGACTCCACGTCAGGTGTCTGAAGCTCTGGAATGACTGCGCGAGCGCGTGCGAAGAAGCTCTGCGAATAAGTGATTAGGGCGAGAAAGGCTGCGATGTCTTCCTCGTCCGTTTTGACGCTGGTGCGGATGTGTCTGTCAAAGAACTCGGCGCAGAAGGCCCGAAGCTCGAGCGTGGTTTTGATGCTTAGAGCGGGTCGATCGTAGGTGTCGGGGTCGAAGGGGTTTTTGTCATCTGAACGCTCCATGATGGCGGTCGTACAGTTTGTAAGGGTTGAAATAAAAGGAAATAGAAGGAAGTGTTTTGTCTTTGGACGGGTGGTTGATTTTGGAAGTGAGGGATTCGGAATTTGAAAAAGCCGAGATCTTTTGATCGTTGTGTTTACCTTCACTGCTCTGTGATGACGACTCTTCTCAGGAAAAATCCGTAAAAAATCGTCACTATCTTCTGGTACTGCGCCTGAACTCTACTACTTCTACAACTTCTCCCTTGCTAGTAAAAGAACGGTTCTCAAGGAAAATTCGTGAAAATCGTCACTGGTTTCTGGCAACCGTCGGACCTCTACGATTTGATTGAGGGGTTCCCGCCCTCTATCGCCAGGACTCTTGAAGAAAGGCATCCCGACGGCAGCGAGAAAGTGCCGCGTCCGATAAAAGGCAGGGAGCCTTCTAGCGATAGATACCAAATAAAGTCCCAGTGTCTGCAATGTGAAGCCTCAACATGTGATCAAAGTGGTAGTGATCTAAACACAAGCAGCAATGCCAGGCAGGACTCCGAGGCATTAGTCGACTCCAGGAATCACCCAATGTCCTAGGAGAAGAAGTTAATTCGACTCAACAACCCCCGGATCCCCCGCTGCACTCGCGCCGTCCTCTTCCTTTTCTCTTTATCCTTCTTCTCGATCTTCGTTTCCACATACGCCGGTAACCTACCCCGCTGCTGACCCGTCCGCTCGTTAACCTGCGCTCCGTCCTCTCGATTCACATGCACAGAATGGTCTGCGTCAAGCGGTATGGAGGGTTCGGCTTGCACCACGTTCTGAGGCGGTAGAGGGCCAAGGATCTCCCACACGGGCCGCAGATTTGCTTTCCTGTAGTCCGAGCGGAAGACAGGATCGGTCTCGAAGCGCTTGCGATCTGCTCTCTTATAAAGAACGTTGCTGTGGAAGCAGTCGGGGATGCCATTTCCAAAACCCTTTGCTTCTTCGGCCTGTGCAAGGGCGCGGAAGTTTTCCATACGTAGCTTTGTTTCGTTGTACAGGTGGTGAAGTTTCGGACGATACCTTGCGTCTTCATTTTGGCAGCGTCAGACCAGGTCCAATCTTGGTCTGGTGTCAGGTTCGAAGCGGTTGAGTTTCGTGTCTAAGAATTTGAGAGGTTGGTAATGTAGACCGAGCAGATTTGTTCCATTCTGGATGGATTTTCCCAAAGAATAGACATCGCAATGCGGTCCTATGAGCTCGTGAGGGTGACGTCTTCTACGTTCTCTTTCCGGCGTCCTGTCTATCACTTCCTATGATCACCGTTAGTAGCGGGTATGATGTCTGGAAATGTCACCAAGACACTCACTGGTGGCATGTATCTGTCTCGACGTCAGCAAGATTTAGGCGATGTGGTTTCAATGTGCTTACCCCTCAGTTCCTCCACTCGGTCTGGCGCTCTTGAAGTAACGAATTTCTGCCACGCTCACTCCCATGGTATGTGCCAATCCTGTTCATGTCAGTATCCAAGATTAGTAAGCTTGGGATATTTACCGAAATCTGCTAGCTTCACGCAGGGATAGAATCGGTGCGTGTCTAGATCAGGCGCGGCAAGCAGCATGTTCTCCGGCTTTATATCCATATGGACAACGCCGTCCCATCCGCACTTACGGGACGATGGATTATTGGTCCCATAGCAGCAATAGCAGAGGACGTTCGCCATGAAGTGGAAGACATGCCACAGAAACGCTTCCGGAAGGATGAGGCTATTTGCACTTTAGTCAATGATGACCACAACATAGAGGGACTAGGTGGAATCAATACCGTTGCGTATGATACCAAGCTATCAAATCCCAGAAATCTCCGTAGTCAGCATACTCATAACAAATCCTGTGCCTAGGTTCTGATTTGCTGATTTTCCCCATTTCGTTTCTCCAAAACTTCTCTCCCTGTAAGCCCATTCCACTACCTTTCAGAAAGGTGAGTAACGAAGCATCTCACAGCTCCCCAGGCACAGTCTACGCACATTTATTACATTTCTGCATCCCAGGTCATTCAGCCTCCGTGTCAAATGAGCCTCGGAACAAAGAGATACTCGGATCAGCATTCTCTCCAGAGAAAATCTGGGGGCGTAGGAGTCCTTGCAACTCGAACGACAGTATAGAAAAGCAAGGAACAGTTTGAGACTTTACGTACCTTAAAGAAGTCATGGGGACGTGACTCCTTAGTGGCTATTCTGATAGGCTTTTTGACTTCAGGGATTGCTCTTTAGGGACGGCATGGGCCACTCACCGGTCCATTCTTGCGAGTCTTCTCCCAAAGCATCACTGCAGCAAGTTCTTCTGTCAGAATCTATTCTCCATGCATGGCACCAATTTAAGTCACAGCGTAGCGCCAAGGATGAACATTCGTTCTCTGGGAACGCATCATGTCATTGTGATAGTATCGATCAAGCAGAACTACTCTCTCTAACAGACAATTGAGGAGGAACTCTCCAAATCATGCCGAGTTGGTCCTTGATCTCTCGAAGTGGTGGAGCATGCTGAACATGTCATTGGCGCTGCTGCCTTTGGCGACATACGAAATAGGCGTGCTCCAATAGTTAGTGTCGCTGACCAAGCCCATGGACTGATATCTTTTCCCTCTTTTTTTTGGACAAAGAATTGCTGGCCTCGTGGTGATTGATGAACGCTAATCACTTCCGGGACTAGTGTCTTTCCTGACCAACAATTGCGAGCATTGTGATTCCGTGATTGAGGCCGGACTGGAGACAGTATGCGTTGACATGTGGCTACACGTTAACAGTCAACAGACGACATACTGGTCAGAGATTCCGGCTCATGGAATTTGGCCAGCCGAAGGAGAGTAATGCTCAAAGCTTCTTGCAATCAAGAGCGCCCAATAGCATATGCTTGCTCTGGTGTAACACTTGCGTGTTCATTACGAGTACAGCTATGAGTGAAAGTCCACATTTACCTACCATGTTGCTGATCATGCGTTCCATGTGCTACTATTTAGCAGAAGGCAAGCTTGTTGATACGGAATAATCGAAGATGATAAGTATGGAGAAGGTGGGACTTAAAAGAAGGCTTTTTGATCGCTAACTATGGGTCTCGAATAGTATCTTTCTTCTCGCATGAGTCGTAAAATGTCTTAGAACACCTGGCTCATGACAACGGTACAAATGCTTTTAGCACCTATTATATGCCACACCCCTGACAACGCCCTGCTCGATCGCTCGATTACCGTCTTCCGCTCCCTCCAATGAAATTTCTCGTCAATGTGCGCTGCATGATGCTGCTATTATGACACGGAGAATAAGAGGCACAGCAATACGTATGTCAAAAATATGTCTAGAAGTCAGCCTCTTCGGTTGGTGAAGGTATTTGATTTGGCGATCCGCGATATCTATTCCGCTTGACGCTTTCCTTGTCTGGGCTGTAACTACCGGAAGAGGTGATGGGCCTTGGACCAGTAGGCTTGCGCTGCATGGCAGCGCCGGAGGTAGAGCGCGGTGAGTCTTTCGCCTGCAGAAGATGGTCAGTTAATATGCTTTTCGAACCGACTAGTAAAAGGTGACTTGCAGTATCATAAGCGGAACCATTGCTATATCTCTGCTCAGGTTGCAGATGTTCTGTACTTAGAGGCGATGCAAAGGTTGGCCTGCTGTCTTTGCTCGCTAGCTTCGGCGGGCGCGACGGACCTGATGGAATCAGTGGACCATCATCTTTGACTTTTGGCGGTCGTGGAGGAGCAGAAGCTTGTTCGGCCCCTGATGTCTCTGAGTGTCCTGCATCGGATATTGGGGACAGGTTGCCAGCCAATCCACTATATCTGTTGATGGCACCTGGGACGTAACGAGCAAGAGTGGGGTCAGACCCAAAGGTGTCGGAGGTGGGCGAGATGGGAGAGCGGGAGCCGAAGTTCTGGGCTTGAGATTCGAGATGGTGCTGGAATCGATGCGTGGGTCCAGGACGTGGCTGGGGATGCTGCAGATTGAGAGAATTCCGATGTGCTTGATATTTCGGATCCTCAGATACTTCAGATGGGATCAGGGGAGAAGGAGGTCGGTTTTCTTGGGCCACATCACGAACGACATCATCGTTCTCGAGTGAGTCATTAGAACGAATACGGTCGTCCCCATGGTGGTCATAATGATCGTTTGTTTCATACGGCTGTAGGTCTTCTCCCGAGCGGGATGCCTCTGAGAAAGGTCGCTGCTGTCGTCGGTCCATGCTATTCCTGAAATTGTCCCCGACAGAAGAAGCTGTTGTCCTTGACCACCTGGAGATCTTCGGGAAGAACGATGAGCTGCTGGATTTGTGTTTGCGACTCTTATCTGTTCCTGTTCTCGGAGTATGCTCGTTACTTTGAGTCCCGTTTGGAACCTGAGTCTGCGGTGGAGTACCCAATGGCACAGACCCAGCTCGAGCGTTCTCCCTGGTAGGGGTGAGCAGCTGTTCGTTATGATTGTCAAGAATTCCCTGCTCATGCGGCTCAGGCTCCTCGTCCGCTTCAAGTACTGTACTTACTCGGTTCTGAGATCCGCGGCGACTGTCTCTATTTCTCATGGCGCTGGCTTCCCGTGATGGAGGGTTTGAAAAGTACCCGGATTGGCCTGTTGATCCGGTACCGGCCTGACCTTCTGGCTCATACCCGTCTGGGCCAGCTGCGCGCATGTTGTTATACGAATTCAGGCTGTCAGCGCGGTTATCTCCTCCCCCAGCAGGCCGCACGCCCTGAACAGCCTTCAACCCTTCGACTTCTCCAAGTAGATGGACCAGCATCTCTTCTATCTTGCCAATATCGTTCTGATTGCGGCTGCTGAGCCCTTTGAGAGCGCGCCTAAACACATTTCGTCTCTTAGCAGGCGAATCCTCTGCATCGTCCTCTGTAGAAGAGCGACGTTGATATTTGGGTGGTCCCAATGGCTGAGGTCGTGGGCCACCGACGACTATCTTCTGAATTGTACGGTCATGCTGCTTGTTACCAACGTCGACAAGAAGGTCGTCTTGCTCAGCAATGAACTTCTTCATTTCTTCGAAGGAGTTGCGCATCTCAGCTGCACTTCTGACCAGAGTCACCAATATTTCAGTATCTCTGGCATTGCGTTGGGCGTCCCTGACCGTAAGCTGGTACTTTTTTAGCATGGAGAACGGCACAATTGAATTGCACACAGGGGGTAGTCACTTACATGATCCATGAGCGCCACAATGTCTTTTGACTGGATTCTGTCAATGCCGCCGCCTGTAGCGCTGTCGTAGAGCGGGGAGCCCATTCCATGTGCCAGTCCATGCGAATTGGTGCTCAGATGCCTGTCGTGGCCTCGGCTAATAAATGGATCTTCATCTTCGGTCATGCCATCCCTTCCCCGGTCGTTGAAGGCTTTAGCATCTCTGAAGCGTATTTCCGGACTGGCAGCACCACGTTGAGGCCCAGAGATGTAGCCCTCGTCTTTGGGTGGACTAGGAACTCTTCCACCGGCCATATAAGTTTCGCGAACGGGGCTGAAATCATGCTTGGCGTTGGTCTCATAGTCATCATGAAACCTGGGCTGATAGTCGTCGTGTATTGACATTTCCCGCGATTTTCCTTGCTCTTCAAGGGAGCCTCGTCCGCTAGCTAAAGTCGCTGCGTTAAGGAAGCCTGCAGCAGCGGCCTTGAGGCTGTCTTGAGCACTTGAATCCTTAGAGGGAGACAAGAACTCTCCTTTGGCCTGTGGTGGGGTGGGCTTGTTTGGCCAGTGATCGAGATTGTCATTCTGATAGCCACCCATTGGTCCTTGGATGATGGAAGGGTTGGTGCTAATCTCAGAGTCCGAGTGCAAGCCATGTCCGATCTCAGGTATGGGGTCATCAGCTACTGGCAAGCCACTGGCACCCATGGGAATGTGCTCCTCGCGTTCATCCAGGGATCTAGCAATGCTCTGACGTGGAGAGTCTTTGGCAGAAAGCCTGTCATAACTATAGTGCTTCTCAGAGGATGACTTGGTCTGATGCTCGTGCTGCTGCTCCCTAGAATTTTGAGCAACTTCGCGCTCCGCATCAGCTTCCACCCGTTCTTGTTCGCGCGATCCAGCATATGATCTGTCTTCCTGTTTCGACGAAATCACTGAAGTCTCAAGAAGCGATGCAACTGCTGATTCAACGGCTACTGGTGTGCTTCTGTAATCAGGGTTTCTGCCAACGCCCACGGTGTGACGTTCTTGAGCGGCGGCAACTTTGTCGAGATATGGGGCATCCATGCTGTCATCTGTGTAGTTTGTCATATGCTTGTAATCAATCATAGAGTCTCGGTAGCTGCCAGAATCGCGATAGCGATCGTTCTTTTCATGTTCCTGCTCCAGCCACTCATCCATCGCAGGGTCTTTATCAGAGTACTCACCCTCCGTAAACTTCGAGTCGCGGAGCTGCGCAAGCACATCTTCACCTGGCTCGAAGTTGATGCCTTTGGGTCTGTTCGAACGAGTCATATCCACGCTAACAGGAGACGCCAACGATCTCATCGAAGCAGCTGAGTCCTTCTTTAGGGGCTGCTTCAGGGATGACAAAGAGCCTTTATGACCGAACGACTGCCGGTTAATCTCGCTTTCCTGACGACTAGAGACACTCTGGATAGGACTTAGGCCACGACTCTCCTGCTGATAGGCGAATCCGTGTCTATCGTATTGATCGTTGCGATCTGATAAGTTATGGGCAGTGAGACCAGCTGTTCCAGCCACTGCTCCAACAACACCTGCTTCCACCAGTTTTGAGTGATGCTCGTCATCCCGAAAGCTTCGATTGCTGTGTGGACTAGCCTCCGCGAGGTCTCCCTGCGATAAATTGCTATGATAGGTTCCTAGCCCTCCCCTTCGCGCATCTTGAGGTGTTCTGGTCGGCGTTCTTGAGGCGGGAGATAAAATCTCGCGGGGAGAACCGCGAGATACCTGTCGTATCTCTGCGGTATGTATTCGTTCCTCCGAAGGGGATAGTGTCCTTAACGTCCCTAATGTCCCATCGGTCTGTTCTGACAAGATTGAGTCTCGCGTCACTTCCGAACTTTGGATGTCGCTCCGCATCGGCATCGGAGGAACGTCATGCTTGTTAAAGATCTCTTCGGTACTCTCAGCGATGCTCGCACTTCGACTGTGACTCCCTTTACTCCTCCTCCTCCTTCGCTTCTCCCGATCCATGCTAGACCTTGAGTCATTGTGCTTCAGGTCATGATG